AAATCCTGAACAGTCCAGGATTCATCAGAGAAGGTCCCTTAATGTAGTGAGCTCATGTGTGAGGGCTGTACTCTGCAGAGATATGAGCTAGATATTCCCTGTGAAGTTATTCCTCCACCTTTCCCTCTGAGAGCAGCTGTAGTGTGTTATGTTCAAGGGCAGCAGTGTGGCTGATGAATGCCATCTGCATGTTTAAATGCATTATGAGAGGAGTGTAACGTAAGGAAGCTTCAATGCCAAAGTGAATGGTGCTCTGTTCAGTGCCTCTCTCATCATTCCTGTTTTGTCTTTGTCACCAGGTGAAGAGACAGCTGTGTGGCAGTGCCTGACCCTTTTAGAAGAAGGGTTATCTCATAGTCCTTCTAATGCTCAGTTTAAATTGCTGCTCATTCGAATCTACTGCAGGCTTGGTGCATTTGAACCCGTTGCAGAGCTCTATTCCAGCCTTGATGCGAAGCACATACAGCACGACACCATCGGGTGGGTAGTATATACTGAGAATAATTGGTGATGGTGACCCTCCAGTGATCACTCCTGAGATCTGCAGTTTCCTTTGCTCCCCAAAGTTAGCACATCATAGATTTTCATACAGTGTGCTGTAAAAGTGTGTTGGAATTTTGAGAGATACATCTACTGTATACACTCCCCTTCTTGTGGAGGATCTTTCCTGTGTGGTTCTGATCGGGTTTGGGTTTTCAGAGTATTAACTAGGGGGTATATGAAAGAAGCTTGTGAAATTTATGTCTCAGTGCCAGTCATAGCTTGGTGTTCCGGCTTGTGTTACTGCTCAGCAGAGCTTGGGGATGCTAGTGAAAGCAAACACATGAAATGGCCTTGCCTTGCTTAGTGTGGTGTGGGTATCTACGTCAAGCTCTTGCACATTTAAGGCGGGTGGAGGAACTCTGAACCCCCACATACTGGTTTTCAAAGCCTGAATTTTAACCTGAGCGTTAATATCTCTGTTACATCTCCGGACTGTGCATTAAAGCTGGGCTCTGCAGAGCTGTGTTTGAAGTTCAGGTTTCCCCAGGGCTGTGTGCGCTGGTGTTTGACTTGTGCTGTGTTGTGTTGCAGCTACCTTCTGACGCGCTATGCAGAGGCACTGGGCCACTACGCTGCTGCATCCCAATCCTGCAATTTTGCACTCAGGTTTTTCCACTCCAACCAGAAAGATGTAAGTTGAAAGAAACCTGTGTCCTTTAGCAGAGCAGTGTGTCAAGATGCCTTACAGAAGCCTCATGTAAGGGCTTACAGAAATGTAGTGGTTGGTAACAAGATAACAAAGAGGAATAATATATGTGCAACTTTGTAGTAAAGGTTGCCTCAACTTGTGTTTCTTGTTACAAGGATTTGTAACTTACTGTTACATGGGGCTTCGCTTTAGCTTGCTATTTCTAAAAGCCAGTCTTAATACTCCTCACAAAAAAAACCCAGATCTGATGACTTTTAAATGAATGGATTGTGATTTTATGCAATAATTGAAGTGAAATGTCATGTGGCAAATAAGTCCTGGTGTTACAGCTCTTTGAAAAGGCATACAGCAGCCAGGGATAGTGGGTGAAGGTGGTTGTGGCATACGTATGAATCCTTTATGTTTCAGTCACTGAAGCTGCATGTTCTAGTGATGGCCGTCTTGGGCACACAGGGATAGTGGGGAATGCACATGCCTTTTAAAAGGCAGGGAAAGCAGGAGGAACAAGGTGGGAGGATTTCAGAGGGGGAAAACAGTCTGGAAGTCTGAGCTTCACTGAAGGCAGAGCAGAGCCCATGACTAACTGCGTTATTTTGAAGTGATAGGATTGAACTGCAAAACCTGGCCTTGAGCTAGTGGGAACTACCTGTTTTATTCAGTTCACCCCTAAAAGTGATGTGAATGAAAAGCAAGTTGTCTTGAATGAGAGTCTTAGCACTGGAATGGAAGAGATAGTGGAGAGTAGCTGAATTCCTCTAAAGAGATGGGGTGCTTCCTAAAATGCACACTGAGCCCTGGCATCTCTCCTGCTTCAGCTTGCTGATTAGTAACTGGACTTGTCAGTAATCTTATTTGGGAACTACACTCTGTACATCCTGATCCATTCATAGGGAAAATATCGATTCTGTTTCAGAATTCCCATGGAATCCATGAAAAATGGGCTAGGTAGGAGAACAACACATTTTTGAGGCTTGGTGGAAATTAATTGAGCAGATAGGAACAGAAATAGTCCAGAATTGTGGCAGGGAAGTATATGCATGTCAGACAATCTCCCTAAAACTTGCAAGGCAGTTCCATTCTGAGAAGTGGGTCTAGATCCTCTATGTTTATATTTTACAGTTTGAATGCTATTGAGAGGTAGGTGAAGAAAATGACTTTTTCTTTACTTTGTAAGACCTAAAGGTGCAATCCAGTTGTAACTCTGCCTGTCAGCCACAAGCAAAGTTGCTCTTAAGGCTTTGCAGCCATACAGCTTGCTGTCCCACTATCCCAGCAATAAATAGAAACACAGGACTTGTCTGTACTGAGTAGTAGAGATGTCAAAGATGCTGACACAGTAATCCCTCAGGAAAAGTACCCTTGCTATGTTGGCAGTCCACATTATTCCTATGTACAAGATACCAGCTGCCATTTGTCTGTGCCTGGAAGGTAGATGCTGTTACCTGTGTCTGACAAATTTTACTATAGTGAGCAGGAAGAGCACGTGGATTGTACAATGGAAACTCACTCTTGTCTGCATTCCTCATTTGCTCATTGTTTTAAGTGCTCATTCTACTTGCTGAGAGTCTTTGGATTCCTGGGTGCTATCGTGAAGCCCTGGATCCAGGCAGCTTTCTCCTACGTGTCTGTTGCAGTAGTGGTGGCTTTATATTTGTTGGGTTTTCTTTTTACCCCCCTTTTTTAAAAGTTATTTGGTGGATATTAATGAAAAGCATATCTGGAACCTACTGCCAGAATGAAATGCATGACTGCTGGGTGCCATATGGAAGAAGTGGAACCAAAAAAACTACTGGATGTGATTTGTCTTCTTGGGAACACTGCGCTGTAAAGCATCAAGAAATCATCTTTTCCTGGAAAGCAAGCTGAAGTAATGTCAGGTGTGGTTACCTTGGAAGAAGGGTATTCCCTTTGGCATGAATAATGATGGTGCTTGTAGCAGAGAAGAGCTGGTTGTTTCCAGTAGCTCGACATCTGCACACAGATGAAGACAGCCACGTTCCAAGTGCTGTTGCCAGGAAATTGCTGCTCAATTTGTGTTCTAGAAATCCTGAGGGGTTTGACCTGCCTCACTACTACAGCTTTAAAGGTTGAAACTGCAAAGGGGTGCAATCGGCATTATGTACTTCATGCTGCAAGATAAGGATGTGACTGGAATAGGCTCGCATCATGTTTCATCTTGGAGACAGAGTATTACAACCAAAAGACCAGGGTAGCCAAATCTCTTGTGTTTTGGACGCTTCCAGTATCACCTTAAGATCATTTTAATTGGGAAATGCATCAAAACCTGTACTAACTAGCAAATACCGAGTGTCCTCTAAGCTCACTGTAAGGTGCAAATTGCAGGAAGTGGAGGGCTTAGTTCAAGGTACTGTTCACCAAGGATGGTGATATGACAAGAGTGGAGATGAAAAAGGGGTTCTTTACCATAAAACACGTCCCACGTATCACCAGGTCAGAATCTGCTACCAGTTTCTGTGCTGCTGTGGTTCTACTGGGGTTGCCCCTTTGTACTGAGGGTCCTGATAGCAGTTTCCCATTTGAGTCCCATAATAGCATCTAACTGCAGTGTTAAAGGAAGACTGTCCTTCAGAAGTTACCTTTTGACATCATTTGAGATACTGCCTGCTCCCCTTGAGGCTGATGCTGGAGGTAGCTGAAATGTCTGCTGCAGCATAGAGAACATGTCCTGCAGCACACTGTGCGTGGGACTCTGCCTACAACAGGAAGTGTGGGGTATAAACCAAGTGCTCTGGCATAAAAATACAGCTCCTGATTCAGACTGTTTGCTTTGGAGAAATCAGTTTTCCTTCTGACTTGCTGAACTTCACAGCCTGAAGTGAATCCTGTTTAAGAGTAGGTCCCATGAGTAACAGCCATCTAGGATGCTGTGCAGTCCTGACAGTATTTCTGCTCTGGGAGAGGATGCCAAGGACAGGGAGGAGAGAGAAGGCAGTATTGCTATATTTAAGCAAAACTAAAAAGGCAACTTTCTCTTTCTCGAGATAGTCCTCCTTTAACTATGCAGAATCACAAGTAATCTCTCTAATTTTCTTGTGTCCGTCCGTCTTTAATTTCTCCAGATACTGCAGGCACACAGAGCACCAACGTGTCCCATGGGGATTTAAAAACCACGTGGATGCAGTTGACTTAGCACCCATAGCGCAGCCCTCAGCCTGACAATGAACTCTGCAAGGCTGTTTATCACAGGGTACGTTGCTGACTATTTGGCATATTTTTTCCATACAGTGCAAATGACCAAATTTCTTAGGGGAAAGAAAAAGATAGAGCAGACCTAAAGGCCATTCCTGATTTTGGAGGGAAGGAAAAAAGGTGGCTTTCATCTGTGAGTGCTAGCTTCTGGTGTCTCAGAGCCTTCCAGATAGGTTGGGTCTCTTAATACTATATAAAGTTGAGTTGAGCAAAGGCCTTTTTTTGTGCTTCTCAGTGCATTTCATAGTCTTGCTCAGAAGGAAATACTTGCCAGAATTTCTCAGTTGTGGAGTAATTCTGATGTAAGAAATGCAGCTGTCTGTCTTGATTGGGAGCATGAATAGTTCACTCTGTCTCTACAGGGAGAAAGTTCCATTAAAACCTAGTGCTTGTCTGCTTCACATCACTGGGCTGATGTGAAATACTAGCTGTGTGCCTTGTGTTGCTGCAGTTCATCAGAGGGGAAGCAAACTGTCCCATGGACCCTGACAGTTTCCTTTGGTGTTTAGGTTGTATTGTAATGCGTACACACTGCGTGATGTTACCTTGTGATGCTGTACTGAAAAATCTTAATAAAAAAGAGAAACAAAAAACCAAATGTGTGAGTAGTTCTTTTTAATCTATGTTGTGGTAACGTGATGCACATGCAGGTCAGTGCTAGAAAATCTGGGGTGTATTTATTTTGCCTGGAAGTACTTCTCACAATGAAAGAATGATTTAATCATCTGAATAACGCAGAGAGAGAGAGAGGAAAAAAAAGCCTTCCAAAATCATCTCTCCCCTCTAAGCATTTATCGGTCTCAGTGGTGATAGCAATGTGATGTACCTTAGTGCTGGTCTGGTTGTTAAACCACCTGCCTGGTAGAGTATTTGGGTGTTCTCAAAATAGCAAAACTGCTGGGGTGACTTGGACAAGCAGAAGTGCCAGATTCTGTGCCTCTGGGGTAATGACAACCACAGAAATGCAGTTTCTTGGCAGTGGCCTTGTTGAACTCTGGTTGTTTTGGATGTATGCAAGTCACTAATACAGGGACAATGTGTGTTCTCTTCCAGACCTCAGAATATATCATTCAAGCCTACAAGTACGGTGCGTTTGAGAAGATCCCGGAGTTCATTGCGTTTCGAAACAGGCTGAACTCTTCCCTTCACTTCGCACAAGTTCGCACAGAGAGGATGCTCTTGGACCTCTTACTTGAAGCGAACATGTAAGTGCAGCACCTTGAACCTGGAAAAACTGGGAGATTTGTGCCTAAGTAGATCACTGGCCAAGTGGGACTTAGTGAGTTGCACTTGCAGCTCGAAGGGTAGAAACCTGTGTGCTGCCTCTTTCTGCATCTACTTTGCTCTCCCCTTTGGTGTCCTTGCTCGTACCATGTATGTGTAACACTTCTGACATCAGAAGAGTTGAACAGTGTAGAGAATGTGCTCTGCTAGTGAGCTGTTTCCAGTGATCCAATGTCTGATCTCATGTCTCTTGTTCTTACGTGCAGATCAACCAGTTTAGAAGAAAGTATAAAGTCCATGAGCCTGAGCCCAGAGGAGGATGACATTCCTTGGAAAGATCTGCGTGACAACAGAGACCTGACAGTCTTGTTTAACTGGGATCCAAAAGACAGGTGAGTAGAAACACCCTCAGCTCTAGAGTCACACCTTTTCCTTACACATGGCAAAGAAAATCCTTTGAGGGGAGCTGCTGTATTGGAATGTTCCCTGGGCTGGCTACCTGCACACTTACCAAGCATCACTCATCATTTCCAGCAGTGCTGCCTTTTGACATATTAATACAGTTCTCTGAATTTCTGCCCACTCTTTCTTCTTCATACAATGTTAAATAACTTTGGGAAGGCTTTTGTGCCTGAGTGAAGCTAGCTGCTTTGCACAGTTGAAGCATTTGCCTGAAAACATTTGGTGCCTTTCTCTAGGAACATTTCTGAAGAACATAAGAAACTCTCACTGGAGGAAGAAACCATGTGGTTGCGAATCCGGTCTTTAACTTTAAGGCTAGTAAGCGGACTCCCAACTCTTAGTCACACTATTCAACCAAAGAACTCTGAAAAGACTGCAGAGAACGGCGTCTCATCCAAGATTGATACAATCCGATCCCTGCTCCAGCAGCTGGAAGCGGCAGTGGATTCAGGGAAGAAGTTTCTAGAACAAAATATTCAGGTACCCGTTAAGGAAAAAGCTATCCCCAAATATTAAGTGAACGTGAATGCAAGCAGAGAAACTGAATGCATCTTGTAACGTCCAGCAGGCTGCAGAATGCACTTAAGTGACCTTGAGTTTGTAGTGTATGAATCTGACTGAGAGATGTGCCAGAGACAAAACACTGTGTTCTGGATAAGGAAAAGCTGCAACACCTTTATCTTTTTCTTTGCTTCTTGCCTAGTATCCTGTCCTTGGCCCTCCTCCTACCCGAATGGCTGGCTTCTTCAGCAATGGCAGCTGTCAGTGCCAGACTAGCTTGTTTTATCTTGTTAGTGATATTTATGAACTAGATACCAATGGCTTAGGTAAGTGTTTGAAGGGCTGAACCAGATTGTCATGGTGTATGGTGGGAGGGAGCAAGCGAGACATGTCTCTGTTTAGTTTGAACACTGCCAGGCACTGGATGATGTGGACCCAGACTGTTAATTTTTTGACTGACACTAAGTTGCCTGGGAGATGGTGCCTTGATTTAATGTTTATGCAAGTCTTCATTTTTGTACAGTACATACATGTTGGTGTAATACTGGATCCTCTGTGAAAGCAGTTGCATTTGCTTTTGACTGCTAACACTATATTTAAATGCCTCCTGGTTTTCTGGAAGCAGAAAATACAGACTTGTAGCTTATAACTTTTTCTTTTTCTTTTCCCAGAAGATTCAGCAGAAATCCAGGAGAGGATAGGGAATAGTTTCAAGTCTTTAGTAGAACGACTGACAGGTAAATGGTAACTTGAGAATAACCACTGGTAGCTAAGGTAGTGCTTCATTGTGCTCTGAGGATGTGCTGCTGAGTGTGCTGCAGTTATATGATGGAGTGTGTGTGTTGATGCAGCTGCACACCCCTTTGAATGATACTTGAGAACAAGGCTGAGAATCCCCTTGGCTTGACTGGTCACCAAGCTGTTGCATGCCACAGAATATGTCCTATCATTTTGCTTACCCTGCAACCTAGGCTTAACAGCTGATGTCCCCCCCTGGTACTTGATCCAGGTGTGCTAATAAATGGTGTGGAGATACTGTTTGTAATGAAATATAATTCAGAGAAAACTTGAGAGCTGGACCTTCCTGAGAGGCTTTGGCTGAATTTATCATTAACTGCTTAGTGGTCAGTCCTCTAACAGCTTTGCACACTACACTGAGATACTTTTTGTGCAGAAAACGCACTCAGGTTGATCTGTGTGTTCTTAATATTGCTTTTTTTTCCTCTTCAGACTTGTTCAATAAATGTAAAGGTGATTTGATTGAAGTCAGAGATGGCACCTTGAAAACTCACCCAAGCCTGTTAGAAAACCTGGTCTTCTTTGTTGAGGTATTTTTTCCTTTGGAATGCTTTAGGGGAGAAATGTTGGGACTAAAACACAGTGAAATTTCTTTGATCTCAGTCACTCATGAAAGCAGAGGGTTTTGTTGCATGTCCTACCAGTAGGAGCATTGAAATGAGGTTGTAAATGCAGCGTGTAACATTTGTACCTTTCTTCCAGACGATCTCCATCACCCTGTGGGTATCGAGTTACTGTGACAGTGTCCTCCGACCTTTTAAATCCAACCTGCAGAAAAAGAAGAAGAAAAAAAAAGAAAGCAGTTTAGCCATGGTAGAGACCGTCTTCCTTTCTGTTCTCCCCCACCCCAATCCAATGGCATAGCTATACTGAAAGAAAATCAGGACAGATAACAATGTTAATAAAGTGTTTTCCATAAACTTTGCCTTGTGGAGGCTGCTGAGAGAAATTACTCATTTCTGTAACTCCTTTTCTCTTTTAAATGGTGATGTGCCACGTCTCTGATGTCAGAGATGCTTTTTAATAGGAAGCAGAGTTTAGAGCATCAGAGGCCTTCCTGCCTTGAACGCAGTATAGTAAACTTGTCTGGGTAGGTGGGTTATAGCTTAGCACTGGGGGAAGGAGTAGAATGATAAAGTTGTCATATAGAATCATCATTGGAATGGGCATTAATACATGTTTATAAACTAAAGATGTGTATTTGTTTTTATAGCCACCTGTATTTACACATTTCCTGGATTACATTACTGAGCTACAGACGTTAACTTCCAATGTTATAGATCACATCAAAGGGCTTGAAATCATTCTGGCTGCACTAAAACTTGAAGAGCTGTCCCTCAAGGACACTCTGCTTTTACAGGTAAGAGCTTGTGGTGGTGTTTGTGTGTGACTGATAATGACCTGTATGTACACGCTTACGGGGTGGCTTTGTTGAAAGCTGTTTTTCACGAAAATGATTTACTGGAAGGAAGAAAAGAGAGGAAAAATAATAAAAAAACTGTTATGATTGAATTAATTGCTCTTAACCAGAGGTTAGGGACGGACTGCTGGAAAGCTGAGGTTTAGAGTGCCGAGTTAGGATTTGTTTTCATGGTGACACAGTGACTTTGTCCCATCTGATCAGCTCCAGCTCACTGTACAGAATGATCTCAGAAAACGAGGTCTAAACACGGGGATTCTAAAATCCTTTCATTTTGTGTTGTATAATAGTGAAGAAAAACTTAAAACTTTAACATTATTTTGTTCTCTGGGATATGAGTTATTCTGTTATCTGTGTTTTAGCAGAATGGCTGCAAATAACATTTCCGGAAGCATTTGAGATTCACCTACTGCAGATTAGTCACTTCCCTGGAAACAATTTCTTGATCTTTATGGAAGAACAAGTGGCAGCTCCTCCCCTGCCCTTAGCTATATAGGGAAAACCAAAGGCAGGAGTGATAGGTGCTACATATGACAAACCTCATGCTGCATTTAGACATGTGAAACACGGGCTTAACGAGAAAGCTTGGGAGTTTTTAAGCCATGGCAGTCAGATAACTTGCCTATCGCAAAGTTTAACTCTTAATGATACTTTCTAACAGTTTGATGTTTACTAGGAATGTATTTGTTTAAAACAGTGGGTGAGACACTAAAAATATCTTTGAAATAGTGACAGAGTTCAGCTAAAAAGCCTCAAAGTGATGGAAAGCATAGAATTGGGGTTTTGTTGATGGTGCTCTGGAAGGGCAGGTGGAGATACAAGGTGCAGCGTAGCACAGTGGTGGAATAGGCATCATCTGATACATGGGGGAGTGAGGAGTCATTGTTCCTTCTCAAAGCAGGATTGCAGATTCCAGGTGAAATGTTTGAGAGGGGAATTGTGTCCTTGCCAGCGTTGGTTTGTGGGGTGGGAGAACACAAAACCAGGTCTCCGGGATATTTATCTCAAATGGGAAATTCAGCGTGCAGGGCACTGGTGTTTGGGTTTGTCTAGAAGGGAGATCTGGAGGCTTTGAATTGGGAAGGATTTAAATGCTACACCCATCTGTTTCAGAGCTGCACATCTGCCCACAGAACCTGCGTTAGCCAGCTGGTATCTTTTTCACTTGAATTGGCCTGTTTATTTCATAGCACAGGATTTAAAATGTCCCTTATTGCTGTATGAGGCTGATGTAGAAGTATCTCAGATATATATATATTTATATATACACACACACACATATATAAAAGAAACTGCAAAAACTGATAGAAAGCAGAGAAATGCCTTCCTGTATTTAATGCAAATATGAATAAAAACTATGTGGTATGTTTTCTTAATGCCATCAAAGAATCTTCACTTTAAAGTCAAGATTCACTTTAAAGATAACACACTTTAATCATCTGTCTCTAATTTCCCTGGTTCCTCACTGACTCAGCAAATTCCTCTTCTTCCCTTTGATTGGCACCACGCTACTGCACGAGGCAGATGTGGAAGAAATGACTTAGCATGTGGATTTGAGCAGAAGCATCTAGGGGAGTCTGCAGCTTCTCCTGTGTTTGCTCAGAACATTTGTCCTGGTGTTTGACATTGTGACAGTAAATCCTGATGAACACAGTGTCTGTAGCTCTGCTCAGATTTGAAGCTGGGTTTGAAGCTCTGTGTGTTTAGAGCTAAAACATGCTTTTGAAGAAGTCCTCAGATTCAGATATTAGGATTAAATTGTGGTGATGCTGGTGATGGGCCAGTTGAACCCTGCCACTGGTGTTAGGTTTTCTGACATGGGGTTGGTTTACTTGGGTGGTGGCTCCCAGGCATTATCTGTGTCTGCAGAAGACATCCTGGCATCAGGTCACCCCTTGATGGAGCAGTGCTTATGGCTGTTACATGCTTTAGCCTCAGGGTTTGCTCTCTGTGTGTCAGCCACAAATATTTTGCACAAGGATGTTTTCAGCAGTTAGGAAGAAATGTTAATGTGTTACCACCCCTGTCTGGGCAGCACCAGTATTTGCAGGAGTTACTACTGCTGAGCTCGTGCTGCTTATTCTGTGCCGACGACATTCCCTTTGTAAACTTACACTGTGGGCTTCATGAATTTGTTAGCACTTGAGATGGTGGGGGAAAGGTAAAGGGAGGATTTAAGCAGTTGCTGTGGGGTGAACAATTTCTCTTTTGCCTTTTGCAGGAAGAAAAAAAGTTTACAAAGACTGTGCAAGGGAAAGTGCAGAGCAGTTACCATCACTCAGTTCAGGAAATTGGAGAGCTGCTGAAAAAGAGACTCGATACCATTAAAAAACTAAAGATTTGAGAACTGCATCCTTGACAGACTCCACAGGGGGGTGACACCAGAGTCCCAGACAGAAGCAACATCCAATATACCATCACTTTAATCCAGAACTTCCTCATAATGCATGAAGGACTTCAAATCATAAATCAGTTTTTTTTAGGTATTACAGATGTATTGAGGTGATTTAAATTATTGTACATAAATGAGAAGCAGGGACCCTTATGGGGGTTTGACCACTTTTTATACATGTTCATAAGCATATTGCAACAGGAGAAAATTCACTTTCTTCCCTTCCAATCTCTAGAAACAACTGGAGATGGTCTTTAGAAGCAGCAATAGAAATCCAGTGTAAAGCATATATCTCAAAGGAGTTGTATTTTCATCACCATACAGTGTTTATAATTTTTGTATGGTCTTTGCCTTAGAAATGCAGAATTTGTAGATGCATTCGGCCACCTCCAGTGAAATGAGCCTGTTTTGGAGCAATTGTGTCCTCAAGCCACTGGGTCCTACTGAATGAATTCAGTGTGGTGATCCCACAGGGGAGGTGAGGCTGTGCTGGAGGAACACTCTCAGTGTACAGCCAGCCAGCAAGGGTGGGAGTGAGCCGGGCCCGGTGGCAGGCAGGTTCCTCTAAGGAGAGAGCTGCTGGAGGGGAGAGGTGGCAGTGGTGGTGTGTACGTGGGTTGTTTCCATGTTTGGAGTAACTGCAAACCTGCTGAGGAGCGAACCTGGCCACTAAGCTTGAGAGAGAGATGTGAATTGGTGTTTCAGCAACCAAGACAAAACCAGAGACCTTGTATATAATGGCTGCAGTGAAGTCTGACGCTGTGGCCTGGTTCCATGTCGGTTCGATGTCAAGGCAATCATCATGACTTTTACAAAGTGTATTTAGATTACTGAAACTTTAAGACGTCAATATTTTAATAGCAACTGAATTGGGTTTAAGTTGGCAGAGGTAACTTTTGCTTCCGCTGTGGTATGAGGCTGAGAATACTTTCTGTAACTGTTTGCTTGCTTTTTGCAGTTGATCTTTGATGATTTGAGTACTTGCTCATTAGGTGTTCTGTTAGAAAGTGCAGTCGCATCATCTGCTCCCACTGCATCTGCATTTCTGCCAGGGGTTTTCTTCGTTTTAAAGGAGTAATGCAGCCTAAATTGTAGGCAAAAAGGAGATTATGTGAACCTGCAATACAGGGGCAGGTCAGACTTTACAGATTCCTCATTTCTGTTTTAAAGCAGCTAGTATCTGAGGTCTATATTTAAAGTTTTAAGAGCTGACAATCCTGCCTTTGTCATCTCTCTCTGTTTTATTAGTGATGTTAGAATGTTGAGGAGAGTATTTTTTTAAATAAATCCCCTGTATAAAAAAAAAGAAAAAAAAAACTAATTTGACAGAGCTGCTCTTGCTGGGTTTAGTTTTGCTTTTCCCCATCCTGAAAGGGAAAGAAGAATGTCTGCAGGCTGTTAGAATTGTAGTAGATGTCCGGTTGGTTTAACTGCAATGTCTGGTAAGTGCTCTGGGCTGGAGGAATACCAAAATGTATTAAGTCTGTTTTATAGTAATACTTTTCCTTGGGAAGAAGGAAAAAAGAAAAAGAGAAAAAGAACCAAGTGAACTCTTACATGTTGTATAGAAATACCTTTTTTGAAAGACAGAAGAGTATGCTTCTTAAATTAAAGCAAGATTGATTACTGAAGTTGATGCTTTCAAATGTGTAGGGTAAGTGAAAACAGTCCTGTTCCTGAGCTGATGCAGTTCAGAGAGAAGCACTGAGCCAGAAATCCATCCTCTGCCCCTTCTCCTTCCAGGAGACTGATGGTGCCCCCTTCCGTCCCTCTCCCATGGCAGTGCTTCAAATACCAGCATTGAATGCAAAGTGGATGCAGCGCTCTCATCCAGAGGCCTGGGTCATGCTGGAGTTTCTTTCCACTGCTGCTACAACAGGTTGAACTCAACCAGTTGTGTCAGTAAGCAAGGGTGAAAATAGGTCGAGTGTAAGGTTAATATAAACAGGCTTTTAAAACCCTGCCATGTGCCTGAAAGCAGAACTTGCTTTTTAAAAAGGGTTTCTGCATCAGCTCCCTTAAAAGCAGAATTGAAACTG